CGGAACTGTACTACCTATCTTTTGGGTCGGAGTCTGATTCAATTTTCGAGTCTCACCGTTCTGACGCCAAGCCACTGGTGACTTAGCTGTAGACCTTACAGCACCCAGTTGGACAATAGAAGTTATCGGTCTAGCTGATGTGGACGGATTTTCATGTGTCTCAGCGGGACTATCCGGAGGATACGAAACGACAAATGGGGCTGCTGCTGCTGCTGCTGCTGCTGCAAGTTTAGGGGCAGGCAAATGCGTCAAGTGGCTTGAGTGAGATGGAGATGTAGGAGAAAGAGGAAGGAGGGAGTCAGATGTCGCAGGAGTAGGAGAAGCTGAATCCGTACGGCCACTTGTATTATGACCGAGTTGGGGAGCATTATACTGAGAAGCAGTAGGTTAACGTGAGAATAGAGACCCCATTCTACGCTCCATAGGAGTAAGATCATGACAAAGGAAAAATTTTGCCTTCTCTAGGTACGCAGTGACACGCTCTCGATGAGTAAAGATTGTGTCAACTTCGATTGATGAAAACAATTTGACTAAGACGGGCGGATTTGTACTACGGGAGGACAAGCGTTTGGCATCAGCTATTTTATAGTTGAAACCACATGAATACAGGAAACTGGTCGCAACATCAATTGGCCGAGCAGATCGAGGAACATTCTTTAGCAGGAAGTTGTAAGAAAGCTTCTGTCTATCACTATATTCACTGGCGATCAGGTGAACAAGTGAGTCGAGACGCCTACATTCTTCAGAGGGAATATCGGAGATGTTCCCGTCGAATAAATGTCCAAGAATTGTCAGCAAAGAGCCAAACTTTAGCATAAAGTCATTGCAGTGGTCAAGTGCAGACAGATTAAGCTGCCGACCAATTACAACGGGTGACGAATGACTAGTAATATCATCTGACTTAGATTTAGGTAAAGCTTCTGACTTACGTTTAGTTAGCCCATGTTTACTTACAAGAGCCGAGAGCTTACGTCGACCAGTGACTTTTGGTCTCATCTTGTCTCGAGGCAATTTGTGATTAAGAAAACTTCTGGCAGACAAGTTGACTGAATTTCAGCTAGGGGCTAACGATGTAAAAATAAATTACAACAGTTAGAGAGAAATCGGATGCACAAAATGAGAATTGCAAAGTGCGATTAGTGAACAACGGGCATAGACTAGCAAAACTCGAAAGGAGATGGCAGCAGGCAGTTCTTAGAGAAGAGACCTGTATTTAAGGAAATTCAACCAAAAAAACAGGTACTAAAATCGTTAGATCTCACAGAAAAACCACTCAAAATAATATCCTCCACTTATCTTCAAATTTAAAACCAGCGGCTTGACCTTGAAGCCTCCTCACTTGTAAAAGGTTTTAGTGAGATCTTTGTTTCCATTGAGAGTTCTATTTTATGTGGTGTCCTGTAAGGTACTGTCTTAGGCCCTCTA